CTGGGATATTTAGGTAAAAATAAATGCAGATTATAAGACCATGAAAGTGTTTTTTGACCTTGCATGCATATTAGACTGTTGTTGGAGACCCTTACAACCAAGATATGACCCTATTTCATGTATAATATGGGTTTTTTAACAGTTTTAGTCGTTTTCACTACAGAAGTCTCAGATATACATTTAATAGACACCAGATTTGAATGATTTGCTATACGGTCTGAAAGAGGCTTAGGTTTTCTGTCACGTAACAAGACACATATTTGCGTAGAGAAAGCTACAGACACACTGGGTTCCTGCTTGTTCTGTAAACATCTGATAAAGACAGTGTTATCTAAGCAGGCCCCTGAGACACATCAATGGCAGTTTTTAAGTTCACCAGCTAAAGATGAGGTGTTTTTTAGGACCTGGCGCTGTCGCAAAGACCTGAGGCCTTTCCTAGGTGTAGGGCGAGGTGGGCTTAGAGATGGGCGTGTGGCTTGCTGACTTTTGGTTGCTAACTGGGGGCTAGCAGCAATGGAGTGTGAGAGTTTAGTTCCAGCACACACCAGTTCCTCCATCTTTTTTGAAAAATCCAAGAGAGGCGAACAAGATGACAATGAGAACGTGTCCGGTGACAGAGGCTGTGGGTCTGGGGTTTCTGGCTGCTGAGATATGTTTACCTGGCTGTTTTCCTGGGGATCATCAATGAGTGCTGAGACTTGATGCTGTTCTGGTGCAGGGCGCAGACGGCAGTTTGTCTGTTATCGGCGGTTGTTGTGGCTGCGTGGTGTTATCTCTGTCCTTGTAGGATGCGTCAGCCACAAGTCCACTCAGGAGCTGATTTGAAGTCCTGTGGTCATCCGGACATTTGCTAGGTGTGTGTGTGTCATTCAGTTCAGTGGCATACACAGCTGATGGATGATGGAGGAAGAAGAGGATGTTGTCTTTCAGCACTTTTGCACCAAGCTTGTTTGGATGAAGGCCGTCTGATGTAAACAGCTGTCTTTGGTTCCAGAAGAGATTGAAGTTGTCGATGAAATTCAGTCTTTTCATGTTACATGTTTTCTGCAGCCATGCATTTAGACCAAGGAGCCTTGAAAACTTATTTGTCCCTCTTGCAGGGAGTGGTCCACTGATGAACGGCTGAATTTTCAATCTTTCAACTGTTTCCAAAAGCTCACAGAAATCTCTCTTGAGCAGTTCTGACTACTCCTTCCGGATATCATTCTTCCCCAAATGGATGATAATCCGTTTTGCAGTCTCATGTTTCCTTCATGGTATCATGGTATCTCTGCTCCTAAAATTTTTGATTATTGAGTCTCCAACAATCAATGTTCTTATCTCTGTTGCGATCGGAGCAGAATGCCGCTGTCTAGTCGGCCTTGAGCCTCTGTTCAGAGCAAAGTTAATTGCTGAGTCATGCGATCTCTGTCTAACTGCATTTGGGGATTCTTCACCCATATTACTCAAAACTTCATATCTGTTCTGAAGCTGTATTTGAGTCCGAGCTGTATTTGGGGTAGAGAACGCTAATGCAGCAGCGTATGACCTTCGTGATCTGACCCCACGAGTACCCTTTGGTCTCGCACCTTGTTTATGCCATAGTTCACGCTGATTTTCAACAGTTTCAATCTGTTTTTCTGTTCTCAAAACAGTAGCTGGAGTAGATTTATAGGGGCTTACCAGCTGAATGCTGTGAGGCTCCACGATGAACCGGTCCTGTGTAATTCGACAGTTTTGGTTGGATCGCAAGTAACTTTGTTTCAAGAACTGCAATCTTTTGTAAAAGTTTATGGCAGTTGGTGCAGCAGTGAGATTCCAAATCAATATGATCCAGAGCCATTTTCACAGCCGTGTTTTCCCATCTCAGGAATTAAAGCAGCTGGTAGCGGGAGGATTGTTTAGACGATAATTCCTCTAAATAAAAGTAAAGTTGTACTCCAGAAAGTTTGTAGATTTGATGTTGATCTTCAAGCTGTTTCGTTTGAGCACTGTGCTGATAGGCTCAAGTTAAAATTAGATTATAAAATAAAAAAGCAGGAGTGCAAGGAGCGGAGCAGTAGGCAAAGACGTCCGAACAGTAGCAAAGCAGGAAGCAAAGAATGGGTGTCAGGAATATCAAAAACAAAACCAACTGAACCACGCTAATTTCTGGCGCCCCCCCCTGGATATACAGTGCCCTTAGCATTTGCCTATTGTGCCTATGCCAGGGGCCGGCCCTGAGTTGGCTGAGTGTTGTAAATACTCGCGCTCACCTTCCTCGCAACAGAGCGCATAGGAGATAAATGACGTCAGTACATAATAACCTGTTATGATTATTACTGAACCAATACCGAATTGTCCACGTGCACAGAAGAAACAATTCATTTTGACACCCCTAATTTATTTATATATATATATATATATATATATATCTCAGTACCGCCGCTCCCTATAAGCAGAGTACGCAGGCTGCGTAGGGCCACAACTTCGGAGGGGGGCACTATCTCGGCTGCTCAAAAAAATTGATATTTATTTACTAATATCAACATAAACTGAGTGTAAATAATCATTTTAAGGCGGACGCATAAACAATCATGTGACGTAATTTTTTTTGTGACGTAGCGTGGCCCAGTCCACTTATCTTTGCGGCTGCTAGCTGCATATATTTATAATAGATGCAAGTTGCAGCTCTATGCATGGAAAAAGACAACAGCAGTCTGGAGCCAGAAGAGGAAGAAAGTACAAGATGAATCGTGTGCATCACTTTCAGGTAACTTCGATGAATCTGGAAAACATATTTTTGGTTGTTCAAGTAAATTAGTGAGGCTAACGTTTAAACTTCTCCACAACTGCTATGCATCATGCTTTAGACAGGACATGTTCTATGACTTTTCACGTTAGCTCCTCTTCCCCATGTTGCTGCTAATTACACAAACTCAATTAGTGTTATTAACTTGTGCAATACTTTACTATTCTGTTTGCACACTAGCTACATACACATGCACTGCACAATTATTTCACTCTATTGTATTGTTTTATTATTTATTATTTATTTATGTATTATTTATCATTATATAGTTATGTTATATGATTATACATATACATTATATCATTTTTTGCAGACAGCAGTTATCATTGTTTATTGCTTTGTCTATTTCTATACATTTCTTATTGCTGTTATTGTTTGTATCACTGCAATGACAATAAAGTCTCTTTAGTCTTTTTTTGTGCATTACAGTATGAAATAACAAAACCCACTTATATTTTGTGATTTCTGAAAGGTCAATAACATAAAATGAGTCAAATTACTGTAAATCACGAGCCAGAAACCATTTTTATTGCATGAATTCATTAATGATTATTTTTTTCTAAATGTTAAAAAAGTTTTTTGTTTAATAATACACCGATTCATTCTTAAAAACCACAAATGTCTTTGAATTATACTGAAAGGAAGGGTCAGCTTTTGTCACCATAGATTACAGTGCAAATTAAATCACATGTTAGTTGTAGTTTAGACAAATTATGAAGAGTGCTGGACTAGCCTATTGTTTTAATGGTATGTCATGAGCTTTTTTCTTAAAAATGACTAATTTATTCTGTATTGTTCATGGAGGTCAATGCTGAAATTTGTCACAAAAGAAGATGAGGTGGCCTGACCAGCACTGCTCCAGAGACACCAGCAGCTGCACAGGTACAGGATGCAGCACTGGGGACTGTCTATCTCTACAGGTAAGAGAGGGTTTTATTCCTTACTCTTTGTAAATGTTTGAAATTATGTTTCTGCAGACGACATGTCAGTGTTTATTTTGATGTAAGCTATTCTTTTGTAATGCAAACATTTGAAGGTTTAAGTATAATTTGAGTGTTTACATGCATATTTATGTATATAAATAAATAAATAAATAAATAAATAAATAAATAAATAAATAAATAAATAAATAAATAAATAAATAAATACATGTTTGAATGTTTCTATGATTTTGTTCCTCTGTGGGGGCATCACAGTAATATTTCGCTTAGGGCACCCTTTTGGCCAGCAACGGCCCTGATATATATATATATATATATATATATATATATATATATATATACCACCCAACTACTGTGTGGCGTGCACAATCTCCCAGCTTGGCAAGACTGTCATAATAAAGCATGTTCAGTCATGACTCATGAAGAATTAAAATAATTAAGCAGCAGGTTCTTCTCATAGGATAAGAAAACTCAGTCTCGTTCCGCAGCCTCGTTGAAATGACTGTTAAACAAAACATTTCTTGGAACCACCTAAAGAAAAACCATCAGGCCCTGGATAATTTCTTCATGGTTTCATCTAATGTCAGTTGCAGTGTTTGTATTAAGGGTATATATTTTTTAATAATTATATAGGAATAAATCAGATAAGAGCTTTAAAATGTGATATAAAATTTGAAGTGACTTCGTTATGAAAATTAGCAGGTGTGACCTTTGGTTTACAGTTTAATGTAATGAATATCAAAAGTTAAACAGGTGTGCATTATAACAGAGACTTAGATGAACACTTTACAGTTAGTTTTGTGACAGTCAATCTCTAATAAAAGTGCTGTAAATTATCATAATTAGCATTTGATACCATCTGTTGACATAGCATATTTTACAGGACTTAAAGTTTATTGTAATAAATGTAGGAAATATAAAAGGTGTGTACTGCATTTGAAATTTACAAAAACACTATGTAGTTGTTTTGTGATATTAAACGTCAAACCAACGTTACGCATAAAGAAGAGCAGGCTACATTGTACATTAACATCAGACACACACACACACACACATACACATACACATACACATACACACATACACACACACACACACACACACACACACAAGAGCTATATATCTGCAAAGTCTGCTTAAAAATGCTAAATCGAACGTTTGTAGTTGGCTTAATGTTCAGCTAGCAGTGACTGCAAAAACAGAAACGAAACGTTAGCCAGTGTGCTAATGGCTTAAAGCAAGCAACAAATCAAAATAAAAATCGTAAAAAGTAATTAAATGTTTCTTACTCTTTATGCAGTCTTAGCAGCGCATCTTCATCTCTTCATTATCACCATAAATCATAACTAATAACAGGCCTCTGTCATGTCCTTCAATATATGATCCGCAGTCGCCGCTCAGAGTCGTTGTGATGATTGCTTGGTGGGTGTGTCATATAGGGACCTCTAAGGTTAAGGATTCCACTATTTAGGGATGGCTGTCACAAAACTGGCGTTTCGTTATCGAGATCCAGAAGCGCAAGTGTTCGAAACACTGCACCGAAGTATGATCTGAAACAATGGGTCACGTGACTAAAATGATTTGAAGCACCATGTCACATGACTAGAGCGATTCAAAACATCGGAATTCGGACTTTTCAGAAGCGTTTAGACGTTTCTGCGTCCCAATTCGCATAACTTACTTATACAAAGAGCAATGTGCTCTGTGGGCAATACCAGCGGTTAGACACATTGACACTAACGTTCTACACTTTTTCCGGAAATGGTAAACCGTCCGAGAACTTTTACATTGTTCATTTGGTACATAATAATTATATTTTCAAATACTATTTAATTTAGGACGGATACGGTTGTTGCTAAATCAGATACAGTTATTTATAATATTTATTATATTTTGTTGTATTTTCATAGCATCTACCCAAACCATAACCCAGCCGTCACAGCAATATAAAAACATTTGTTATTTATTAAACTATACAATACATTGTATTTTATTAACGCCTTCCCCCCACATCCGGCCTACTGTAAAAATAATATTTGTTATACAGTATTACTATATGATGATACTATATTGATGTGTATCTTGATGTATATCTAGATTTTACCTTTCGAGATCTGGCGATCCGCGTTTGATTGACTTGGTCAGTAAACCCTCTATTTTATGTAGCAAATATGCTGCGAGTTCGATCTCCGACTTGCACAACATGCTCAGGAATTGTTGCTTTTTAATAAAGTTTTTTTTTATGATCAAAATAAGACATTTATAGTATTGTGAAGTCATTTTTGTCAGAGCACTTTGTCAGAGCATTTAAAAAGCAATACCTATAGCTGCATAGATTTAAATCCACTAAATCACTTGAAATATTAATTCTACAACGTGGGCCATATTTCCCCAACTTGTGAAACTGTTTCTTTGCTGAAGCTGTTCAAAAGTACTTGACTACATAAAAATATCACTAGGTGTCGCTTTAGAGTTAGGTTTTAAAGCTTCGAGACGTTTGCTTCAACTGTTTCAGTGTTTCATGAAACCTCGCACTGCCCACGGCTATGAATATTACCACAATAACTCCTGTAGTTTTGCAACAGTCTGTGTTTTGCAGACGAACTGCATTACTTCTTCTGGACCGAGACGTGACCTCATTTGGGATGTCACAGTAGGCTATGCAATCTGCTGTGTGTGTTATGAAGATAAAAGAAAACTTTAAGAAAGGTCATGAGTATAATAAAAAAATGTGTATCCTACATGACAGATAGGGCCAGATTAAGAACATGGGGTTATAGTATAACCCCCATTTATTTTATTGCCTCTTTATACTTATATTCATTTTCTTGTCGGCTTAGTCCCTTTATTAATCCGGGGTGGCCACAGCGGAATGAACCGCCAACTTATTCAGCAAGTGTTTACGCAGCGGATGCCCTTCCAGCCGCAATCCATCTCTGGGAAACATCCACACATACATTCAAACACACACTCATACACTACGGACAATTTAGCTCACCCAATTTATTTACCTATCCCGCATGTCTTTAGACTGTGGGGGAAACCGGAGCACCCGGAGGAAACCCACGCAAACGCAGGGAGAACATGCAAACTCCACAGAGAAACGCCAACTGAGCCAAGGCTCGAACCATATATATATATATATATATATATATATATATATATATATATATATATATATATATATATATATATATATATATATATATATATATATATATATATATATATATATATATATATATATATATATATATATGTATGTATGTATGTATGTTTATATATGTATGTATGTATATATATGTATGTATTTTAAAAATAAACTTTATTAAAGTAGACATACAAGCATAAAAATGTAAAACATTAATCGCATAACCTTCAGACAGGCCAAAATCATCAAAAGATATTTGCAGTACTGTTTAGCTAAGTGCTTTACAATAAATACTTTACATATGGTTTTACTTAGAGAGCTGAGCAGTAATCCCTAATTAAAATATATAGCCTACTCCAAATTTCCACACAAAAAAACATGTGAGTCAATTACAGAAGACTAGCATCATTTATTTATTTGTCAATTGCCATGTGGAGGTAGATATTGATGATCCTATACATTTTACAATGGAATGCTAGGAGTTGAACTGCTTATGGATGTAAAACATTGTGCATTCAAGAGTATCCATAGACTTTAAAAAATATATGCATGACATGACAGCACCTTCTTTTTTTATTAAATGACATAAACAATAGGTCTATACATAAAACCAAAATTAGAAAATAATGTATACAATTGATAAATAAACAATATCAGGGGCAAATACACATACGTATAAAGATTAGTTATAAAACCAGTAAAATATTATGTGAATGACAAAACAAAATAGTTTTAAGGGCTTTGTAATTGTTGGTAGTATTGAGGTAGGATTTAATATCTTTACAGAAAACAGGGTTTAGCATCCTGAAAAAATGGATTTCAAGAAAAATGAATACATTTATTTGATAATAGATATTGAAGAAATATTCAGAGCTGAAAACGCATGTATAAAAATACAAAAATCCTTCCAGAATATATATATATTTATAGATTCATTTTCAACCCATCTCCAAAAAGGTTCAGAAAGACCATAAAGAATCAATATCCTGAGATTAGTTTTTATATAAAGTTTAAAGCGTTACATGGTAAAAAAAAAAAAAAAAAAAGATTAATTAATTTGTTGTAAATGTCTTTTATCTTATTCATTCAATTTTTAGATGACAAATTAACACTTTTTTTCCGTAGGATGTTTTGATATAGGCCATTTCATTGGGACACCATATATGGAGAGAAGTCATTTTTTTTACAGTAATACAGGCAACACTGTTACCAATTAGTCACTGTAATTGTCATGGGCCAGGTTTGATCTGGGCTCCTCTATCCTGTCTGGTCTCTGTCTCAGCTGTTTCCTCTCACAATCAGTGCTGGTACGCACACATTACTTACATGTAGCTCTTTTCATCTGATTTACCCCTCTACATGTTTTTGCGCTTTTGTGAAGCTATTTGCCAGAATATTGTGTTGGATTATCTGTAAATTCTGTGTGACTTTGCTAACTATAAATGCACCCTTCAATTAATCCTTGTCTAAGTCTAGTCTCGTTTAAGTAACTATATATTGCCATACCTTCATGCTCGTCAGCATTAGCATACGCATCTCTACTGGAGACCTCTCCTCGCTTAAAGTCCTTTTGGAACCCCTTCGGTTGGGTCCAGAGGAAAAAGCTTTCTGTTTCTATGTAAAATACATACAGTTTCATTTGGGTATCTTTAAATGAATAGAAGTTAATAAAGCCATTTTTTGTGCTGTTTAAAATTTAACTGTGGCTTTATTTGTCATTTATATGGGATTTATAAAGCATAAATAGTCCTTACTTTAGATTAGTTCACAAAACTGCATAAAGTTGAGCTAATAAAGCATTTATTAACATACAAATTAACTACTATATGCCTGGATAATGAGCTATTTGAATGTTAATTTGAATAGTTTATTAATCTTTTACTTGCACATTATGAATGATCTTAAAATAGCACCAATTATTCTTAAAAACCTAGCGGATGTAAATGATGCAATACTTAAGCAATGAAAAAATAACCATTAATAAAGTATGAAAACACAATCATTAGGCACATTATAAATGTACTTATAAGGTAAGTGTAAAATTTGTAATTAATGTAGTTAATGCTTGACAGATAATGATTTCACTATTTGCTAATGCTTAATATATGGTTCATAGTGTATAGTCATTATAAAGTGTTGCCAATAACTTTCATAAATCTGTACTTTTTAGTAAAAAAAGGTTTTTAAAAAAGTTTTTTTTTCCTCAAACAAAGTTGAAAATGAGTTCTTTATAATTTTACTATAGCAATGTTATAGGTTATACTTGAGTATTTGTGTGCTTTATCCTACACTGCCTACTTCTTTCTAAAATAAATTCAGATGTATTTAAATATTATTTGCCATAATCCTCTTGACATAATCCTTTTCAATTTTTAAGCAAAGATTATGTGCCCTGGGTAGCAATTTAGGGTTAATCATTGTCCCAATTGCCCAAGATGGCATAGCGTTTGTTTGAGGTGCACAGAAAAATAATTATTGCAAATTATTAGAATACAATAATCTTTAAAATAAAGCCATCAAACAAAATATGAAAGTTGTTACAAATAGCCAAAGCCACACATTCAAACAAGCAAAATGTGCCTTGACATTCATGTTTTCAGGGGGTTGGGGGGGGGAGGGGGGGGCACTGCCTTAAAGGCACTGCATGACTATTTAATAGTGTTAATGGTGGGTGGAGAAATATCTGAAATGCTGGCCTTGTTTACCAGTTCACCTAGGGCTAACAACTTGGTCATGAGGAATATTCATGTGAGATGTCATCTCTTACTTCGTGTCAGGACGGCCACACATTCAGGCTGGTCATGAACTCATACAAAACAACCAATATCTAAAGTATACTGAGGAAATGCCTGTCGATCAAAACTGCTGCAAGTGAAAAGCAGACAAAATTAAAACTTGTCTATTGAATTGATGTTCTGAAACATTAACTTTATGTTGTGAATTATAGACTGAAAAGTGTTGTTTAAATAGTTTTTTATGCATATTATTACATTTTATATAATCAAAGACAAGAAACAAATAATTTTTGTCAATTATTTGCCAGCTACATTTTGAGTCAAGTAAAGCCAAGTCATCTTTATTTCTATAGCGCTTATACAATGTAGATTGTATCAAAGCAGCTTTACATAAATAGAAATATAAAAAACATAACAATACTTAATATTGTAAACCATATTCAGCATATCAGGCAGAAAACTGGGAAAAGGAAGAATGCTGGTATTGTTTACATTTATTTTAAAATATATAACTCCTTGAGATGCAATTTTCAATGGATCCCATAAAGACATGACAAAAACAAAAGCAAAAAAAAAAAGTATGATTGCAAACACAAAATCTAGTCATATTAAATTATATTTTACATGTTCTAGTAATATTAAAATGGATACAGTTCTAACTTCTAGGTCACTTTTGAAGGACAATACCCTAAACAGCAGCTC